GGGGGGGGGGGGGGATTATAGTTGTCACTTTTTATTATGACAAACATTAGACTAAATGCAAATGGATAGGCATATGAGTCATCTTTATTTAAAATGAGATAGTCTTCCCGTTTGTAACTATAAATAGACATTAGGTCATCAGAACCAATTTGGTACGGACTCTTGGAGTCGAATACTAGCAATTGACCACATGGTGCAGTTTATAGCGAATGAGTATAACTAAGATCATTGGGGGTCTTGAACTATAAATTATGGTTGGCTGAACTCATTGGCCATAATTCTTATAACATGTAATCGTGGTCTACTTTTGTGTTCCACCACTACCCATGAAAATCGAGTCTCTCTGTCATCGTAAGATGTGGTTTGGACCTTATGGTCTTTACTTGGAATATATGAACTTGTAAAAATCGAAGATACTCTTAAGTTAACGGAGTTATTTAAGAGAAGTTGGATTCATGAACCTCCATCGTAATGCAAGTGAAACCAGAGGGACCCTATTCATTAAAAGCCATTTCCTTTTCTCAAACATTAAGTTTAAAACTTTTATCTTCTTTTTATGTATTTCTTATTTTAAAATATTTTAGATAATTTATTATTATATTTCATCTGTCTTAAAATAAATGTGTATAATGAAAATATCGCATAACTCTAATAATATGTAATTATTACACTTTTTAAATAATTAAATGATATTTTATCCTTGATAACAGAAAGATAATTTTTTTTAGTAAATAATAGTAAAATAAAAAAATAAAAACTTATTTTTGAAGATGAACATTTATTTTAAAATAAACTAAAATAAATATATTAACATTTAAAACATAAGAATTAATAAAATAATATTAAAAATTTCCATTTTGATATTTTGAAACAAATGGAAATAAAAGTACATCAATTTATTTAAGTACAAATTCTATAGAAATATATAAAGTTTTAAATATTTAAATATCTGAGTAACCAATTTAAGCATTAATCGGTTATTAATACTGATGCAGCATTCAACTCAATATCATTTAGATGATGAGATTAATTTTTTTAATTCCAAATCAGTTGTAACTTTATTTATTTTATTAGAATTTGTATATTATAATTACTTATGTGAAATCATATAATTATAATCTATAAACTCTAATAAAACAAATAAATTTAAAACTGATTTTAAAATTTCATTTTATTAGTCATGTCAGTAAATAATATTAAGTTGGATGTCGCATCACTAGGGGTGACAAAAAATGACCCAACCCATTAACTTAATCCGAACCCAACCCAGAATTAGCAGATTGGGTTGAGATATTCAACCCATTTAAATAAATGGGTTAACCCGTCTAACCCATTTAAATAAATGGGTTGGGTTGAGTTGGGTTGAATTTTTCAACCTATTTTCAACCCACTTAAAATATTATATAAATTTATTTTATTTTTAATATTATATCTATTATATTAACTTTTTATTTTTTATTTTGTTTCTTCTTAAATAAATTGGCCCAAGTTTCAGTATCACAACTCACGAGTTAAACGACGCTTCGATTTTCAATCCTTCATACAATATCAGTAATTCAGTATCATGAGTCTCGCGTCTTCAATTTTTCATCTTCTTCAGTCAATTTTATCAATCTTCGCCCCTTCTTTTGAGTTCTACCTTCTCCAATCAAATATTTCGGTTGGTTTCAGTTTTCGATTTGAGGTTGAGGTGTTGTGGCTTGAGCGATAGCAGAGTCATTCGCCATTGTGGAGCTAAAATAAAGGATCTTCCGACTTTCTCTTGTGTTTTGTTTATAGAATCAAACATTTCCCAACTTGTAATTTAATTATTCACGTAGTACAAATGGAATCGCATCTTGAGGCGTTATGTGGAGCAATCATGAGAGAGAAGATAGAAGATCAAGAAGAAAATAATACCGAGAGTGAAATTGGGTTGATGAAAGTGGAAGTCGAGTTACTTAAAATTTAAAATTTTCCAACTTATTTTGAACAATATATTTGTTGTAGTTGTGTTTTATTCAAACTTTGAACAATTTGGTTGTACTTGTGGTTGTGTTATGTTTTCTTCAAAAAATTTAAATAGTCTAGTTTTTTTTTATTTAAAAATTTAAAATTAAATGGGTCAACCCATTTATTTAAGAGGTTGGGTTAAGAAAATTGTAAACAGATCAACCCACTGTCAACCCATTTAAGTAACAGGTTGGGTTGGGTTAAAAAATCTCAACCCATTTAATTAAATGAGTTGGGTTGAGTTGAGATTTTCAACATTTTTAATAAATGGGTTGAACCTGAACCCAACCCAACCTGACCCATTATCACCCTTACGCATCACTTGTCATATCAGTATTGATAACCGGTTAATACTTAAACCTTTAGGTATTCAAATATTTGAAACTTTACATATTAGATAGCAAAATGAAAACTACTATTCGAAATCAAAAGCAAATTATGTTATACAATTTATTTTTTATTTAAGGATACGGATAAAGGGGGTGGTTGAAATTTAAAATTAGGGGGTGTTTGGGTAAGCTTATTTAAAACAACTTATGTTTTTTTGTAAAAGTGCTTATTAACTTATGCGGTATCAAACTGGAGTTTTGTAAAAAGTGTTTGGATTAGCTTATAGCGGTACCAAACTGCAATAAGCTGATAAGTTGTTTTTTAGTGTTTGGCAAATTTTGCTTATAGATGTAAAATTACCAAAAAGGTCATCCAACCCTATTTTCTCTCGTGTTCATCGTGTACCTCCAGTGTTCATCCAATGTTCATCGTCTACCTCCAGTGTTCATCCCGTGTTCATCG